CAGCTCAGCAGCACCCGGGCACCCCCATCCCCTCTCCGCAGGGGCAGCCGTGCTCGGCCCGGGGAGCCCCGCGGGTCACATTTCTCTGTGCCTCCGGTGCCGTTTGCGTGTGCCGGTGTGGAGGGGGCCCGTGCTGCCTCATCCCTTTACCCAAACCTTTAAGCTGCCATCAGAAATAGCCCCCTGTAATCTGCTTGCGCAGAGACGCGGGGGACCTGCCCGGGGGAGCAAATCCCCAGGCAGGGGATTAGGAAGAAGCGGCTCCTGCCTTACAGTAGTTCAGCATATGAGCTTTTGATAATGGGTATGTTTCACTAAGCTTCCTCCCAGTGGTTTCAGGAGCATAGTGTTCATTCTGAACAAACTCAACAGCAATGCACTAAGCCCAATTTTATGTTCCCCAAAGTTTATTTTGTATTTTTTTCCAATAATTTCTCTGTATTTTATAACTCTAATTTGTAACCTTTCAGAGACTAGTACTACGAATTCTTTCCCAAAATTTCTCATCACCAGACAGAGCAAGAAATCTTGTAGCAGAAGCATCTCAGAAATTTCTTCTTCTGAAAGGAGATCTTTCTCAAACCAGACTATATAGGGATTGTCAAGGCCTTATGAGAGGAGACTGTGAAAAAATACCGGATTATTACACTTAAATTTTTTTATTGCGTCAGCCACTGAAATGCAAGTGTGGCTTGATGTGAAGAGTGAAATGTTTAATGAAAAAGAATTTCTAAAACCAAGTGTGTCTTTAGATCCCATGAGATATTATTCAACACCAGTCTTGAATAATTCATTGAGTCATTTAGATAATATATGAATAGTAATAATCCTGCATTTGAATGAAGACATATTTCATGCCCTTTTATAGAAGACAGGTGCTGACTGAAGGAAACGGGACTTGATTAAATGTGGCCTCAGATTAAGCTGCAGTTTCAAAATCTCGCCTTGTTACCTTCATTCATCCTTCCTCTGTACAGCTCTAATGCGGAAGCAGAGAGAGACCTTGTGGTCACCAGGGTGGTGAAAACACAAGACTGACTGGGGCAGAAACCATATCACCTGGAGAGAGTAATATTGGTGTAATACTCCCTTATAAGCAAGGGCAGTTGGTAGTACTTGCTTGAGAATAATGCTGGAGCATCTGAAGTTCAGTGTATCAACCTATGAAGTACTTGAGGAAAAAGAGGTGAAACACATCCAAAGAGCAAACTACTACGCAGTTAATATTATTTGGTATTCTTAATTTTATTCTTAGGCTTCAGATGTTCAGGCAAATATTTGTTCTGTTCCTTCAAGACACCTAATGAAAACAGAATAACGTGTGTTTTGTTGCCTTAGAACCTCAAAGGTGTGTTTTAAACTTAGCTGAAATGACTGTGTGTCAGTGCCTAGTTTCAATTTAAGGCATCTGTAAAAGGTTATACTTTTTTTTTTTCTCAATTATGTTCACTGACAATGTTCAATTAACATTTAAGTTGACTGTACGTTGTTTTGATCTGACCCTATGTGATGATAATTTGCAAAGAGCAAAACACAAGCATTTCAGTCAAGTTCTGTAGAAAACTACGAATACTTTGCTAGATGTTTATGGAGTGAAAATACAACCAAGAAAAGGGAAATAAAAACCTAAAAATTTGAACACACTAGCACTCTTCTACAGTGGGGAGACTCGGTGGGCACCTCTACTCAGCAGCCTAGGTCAGCTGGCCAGAAGAACGGCTCCCAGCCGCTCCCTGTGGGACAGTGAGGTGACCTGGCAGCATTACCTGACATTTTGCTTGTCTTCCAATGTTGTCAGCCAGTTTGCTGCACACGTGGGAGTTGTTGGTGCACCAATAGTCCAGTACATGCTGTTGGATTTGTAATTGTCTGCCCCACCTTCTCCAAGGCAGAACTGGAGGCTGATAGGAAATACTGATGGTAAGACATGCTGGCTTACCCACTTCATCCTGTTATCCTACCAGTGCACAGGTCTTTCCAGCAGTGTATTTGATAGGGTTTTCAGTTGGCTTAAGTATGCCAAATAATGCAGCTGCTATCGCATGCCTTTGAGCGGGATGGATGGAGAAAACCATTGCATCTAAATTTTGTTTTAGCTGAAGTACCAAAGCCAAGATTAAATTATGGCTTTCCTTTCTGGTTCTTGTTAAAGTTGGGGGACCTTTTGTGGCACATTCGAGGATAAATTTCAGCTTTTTACATCTGCAAAGGTTCTTTATCCATAAAACACTCACTGAAAAAAATTTACTGAAGGTGTAACAGACTGCAGGTGAGCCTATTAATATATGTGAGAGCACAAATAGAAAAGAACCTTTCAGGACTGTCATGTCCATGCTATCTTCTTTCATGTACAGCAAACTTCCCCTTGGTCCTAGCCCACCAGTTAAAGGGCTAGCTCCCTTCTGCTGCCTGTATATGGAAGGCGTAGATGGAGCAGTATCTTACCTGTCACAAGCATGTCTCATTTCACTTGCCCTAGTGAAAAGACAAGTCAGAGTCTGTCTTACAGTGTTTGAAAGGTGTTCTCCTTCAGTGGAGTTTTTTGCACTGTATTCTGCATCTATTGCTGTAGTATGTAATCCAGAGGAAATCAAGACATCCCTACCCCTTGCTCTAAAATGCTGGTAATTCTGATTCAATTAGTCTGTAAGTAATAAAGCAAATGCACAAAATTAACTTGTAAAGGTCCAGGTGGCTAAATAGCATCTCTGAGCTTGGTGTGAGTGTAGGCTAGAGCAGGTCACTCTGTAGGATTAAAGGGGATTGCCAGCCAGTATCTTCAAGACAGCCATTGAGATTGATGTGTCATTCTCCTCCCCTCCCCCTCCCAAGTGTGTAAGGTCACAGTGTCACGACACAAGAAAGGATGATCCCCTTGTTCAAACTTTGTGCCGAGCTCAGGAGCTGCAGGATTTCAGCGTGTAGAAGAGATGAGTGCTGCATACACCTTCCCTCAGCCCTTTGTGCTTGGGTTTGCTTCTCAGCAGCACGCAGAATCACAAATGTGTAGTTCTTGCTCTTTTGCCTGCCTTAAAGCTCAGCTTTAACCATGCTCTCTGCCTTGCTACAGGGACTCTGCTGTTTCCAACAATAAGACTCCACACAATAGCTCCATCAGCCACATTGAATCTGTCCTTCAGCAGCTCGACGAGGCCCAGGTACAGATGGAAGAGCTCTTCCATGAAAGGAAGATTAAGCTAGACATTTTCCTTCAGCTCCGGATTTTTGAACAGTACACCATTGAGGTAAGAGCTGGCTGCATGACCTAAAAAAGGTAGAGCTGTGGGAGGGGGAGTGTCTGTAAACATAGTCTGTTAAATACACCTGGAGCTGTTTGACTGTGCTCAGCTGTCCAGTGAGGAAGAGAGTTACAACCAGGTTTTAAATTCCGCATGTTGAAGCTAAAAATATGCTTTAAGATACACTCCTAGAATGCACTGAAACAGATTCATGTCTGCTTAACTGACTATGCTGAGAGTCTGCCTGCTTTGCAAAGAAGCTTTATAAGATGCCCCTGTTATAACTCTTTATTGACACTAGTCACTCAGGGATTTGAAAGTTCTGTATCACTTATTAGTGAGGTTTGTCTCTTCAGATATAAATGTAGATGCATACAAACAGGTACATGCTTGGCTTTAAACCACTGAGTGAAAAAGCATGTTATGGATGAAAGGAAAGGATATTTAAAAGATGGGTTTTTTAAGCATCCTAGTGGATTTATTAAAAAAGGAAAGGAGAAAAAAAAAAAGAAGGGAAAGTTAAAGTATATTTTTATGTCCTCGTGCAAAAAAGGTCTTTCAGTTCTGTTTTGTAATTCTTTTTTGAAATCAAAAGCACAGGATGGAAGACTCATCAAAACATCAATAATTGAGGTATTCTTGGACAGAGAAACTTTAAAGACTCTAGCCAATCTCATTAATTACTTGTTGTAATTCTGATAGGACATGATGCAAAAAGAACAACATGTAAATTAACTTGTGCACAAAATCCACGAAAGCCATGTGCCAGCACTTGTGTCCCTTCTGGGATGTGTTCCTCCTACTGCATCCCACTGGTGCTTGTTTAGTTCATGGAGTACCTTTAAGACTTTTATGACGGTATATTCCTGAAGGTATTGTTTGTAAATCTGTAAGTAATCTCAAGGCGGGTACTGGTAATTAATGGGAGCCTTAGAATGCTGTGTTACGCTTTGTAAGTGTTTATTTTAAGACATGGCATGATGAATTATAGTGGAATAAAAGGCTGGAAAGAGAGGGTCTTAGGTGTCTTGATCTATAATTGGATGCCAGAGATAGAAATCAGTGAGGAGTATCTGTCATGACTGCATAGTTAGGTATTGTACTGAACTTTGTTCTACAGTGCTTGTTGTTTATGTAAATTAGAATAGTTTCATTTTACTTACCAGTACAGCCTTTACTTACAGCCTCCTTGATACTGAGAGACAGTATTCTTTATGAGTATGTGTGTATAAGTATAAATGTTTGTATTTTCATGTCAGATAGCATTCTTAATGCTAAGTATGTTACATTCAAAATTCAGGAGCCTGCAGCAACTGTAGTATCTCCTGTATTTAAATAGAAGATATTTTGATACAATGGTGTGGCAACTGTTGAATAATTGAGACTTTTATTCTAAAGATATAAATGGGGGGTGAGTGCATATACTCGTACATACCTATAAATGGCACCTGTGGTTTCCAAAATGAAACTAAAAAAAAAAGAAAACCAGTATGTGTTTCTGGAACACCCAAATGTGTCTGTAGGCAGTATATGGTGAACCCATGTGAGTCATTCATTAAGATCTAAGCCTGTTTCACTGCAAATTCTAGGTCTGAACCTAGAATTATGCTGATTTTAGTAAATATCTTTAAAAAAAAAAAAATCAGTGTTTTCAGACTCTTTTTCTTTGTACATAACCTTTCAAGCAAGGATCTCAAAGACCGTTACCACCGTGGATTGTTTTACTGATGGGGCAACTGAGGCATAAGGAGATGACGTGACTTATCCTAGTCCCCTTCATATGTGGTGCCAGAGATGGGAATACTATGTGGATCCCTCTGTTTTGTTTCTGCATAACTCCTACTTCTGTGTATTCAGACACATTTGGAATGGCTGTGATACATTAAAGATATTTAAAATTGGAAATGTGCTTCAGAGTTGTCTAAAATCAGATTAGCTAGAAAGGATTTTAAAGAAAATCACCACTTAGTTGTCACTGTAGATTTGCTATTTTTTGTCATAAGAACATCTGAATTCCCTCTGCAAGATTAATATTACAAGGAAATCTGAGAACATGTTTCATAGGGGTTCTGTGGCCAGATGATTTTATTTAGAAAGCTCCCTCTTTCTGAAAAATATTTTTTATTTTAGAAAAATTATGACATTTAATTTATAACTGAACACACAACAAAAAATTTATCCAGGTCAGTATCTTAAATTTTGTAAGCACATTTAGTGCTTAAACAAGAAAAACAGTTTGGATAATAAAAAGAAAGGTAATTTGAAATAAAATATCAAATAATACATGTATGCTATGCATTTCAAACAACAGCTGAATTGGCTCAAATTGACACAATAATGATCCTCAGAAAGTAGATTGCAGTCAGTTGCCTCAGCTGTATAATAAAGATTCCATGTCAGTAGGAAACTGTTATTAAAATTAGCAAAATTATCTCATGCCATTGTTGAGAAGCAAAAAGATTTTTTTCATCGCCACAATTAAAAAGCAAGTGGTATTTCTGATGGTTGACTGTTCCAAGATTTTAAGGGAAAAAGATGATGAAATTTAAAACAGGAAATTAAGTATTTTTTCTACTAAAGACAAGTAGCTTGAGCTATGACTGGAAATGTATTTAGGTTTTAATTTTCCATAATAGCCTAGATCCTGCATAGATTAAGAATACTGAAATAATGTGTACTGGTATGATTGTCAAAAGAATTTCTCCTTTTCTAGTCTGGATAAGCCCCCTTCCATCTGTCCAAAGAGCAGTGCCATATTGAACACATCCCTAATGAAACCCCTCTACCTGCTGCAGCCGTGTTAATCTCTCTCCTTCCTGCACTCACACAAACAGTCTACAAAACGTGGGCCCTCCACCTCCCAAACTTGAATATGTTTGTTCTCTTTACTGCTTTAGTCTTGTCAAGAATTGAGGTTCCCATTTGCCCCTCTCAGGTCTGTGTTCTTGCCCTTGGTTCTTGGGTTCTTGTGCTCCAGGGAATACCTTATGATGAGGACCCTTCCCTGGGAACTTTGGTGAGAGGAAAAACTTGCATCTCTCTAGTGGAAGGGATCCAGAGGGATGCAGCTGTGGGAGCCCATCTGCTTCCAACAGCTTTAGGGAAGGCTGCGCATTAGAGCTCAGTCTCAGAGAATAGTTACATCTCGTATTGTCTCTTTCCATCCAGTTTTGCTACCAAACATTTTTGATTCTGTTAATTTTCCCTACTACCCTCTCTCTCTTTCCTTTCTAATTAATAATGCAAACTGAAAGTATTAGGAACTTTTCAAACTCACAAATGGTAATGTAGTGATTAGCCCTTAGTTTTATTTAGAAAGTGTCTGACTGTCATTTGTTCTTTGGAAACTTTCCTGCTTTTCCTGTTCTCCCCAGCTATTGAAATCCATGCCATAGATCACATAACCCTTTCCTTTGGCACTCCTTCCTAAACTTGCACTGTACCCATCTGCTTTCTAGCCCTCATGTTTTTTGAGCTTTCCTATAATCTTCTCTTCTTGACAGAGGTTTGGAGTCCAGACAAACTTCAGAATTAATGATTACTGCACGAGCAACACTTACTTCCATCTATTTAGGCTTCATTGGACCTTTTCTTGTACTTCAGTGAAATCTGCCAACTATTGTTGCATTTTGTCTTCAGGAAAAGTATTTTACGTAAAGAAAAGCCACCTGCCTATTTCTTTGGCAGGGCAGACCAGCTGCGTTCATTTAGGACTTCTAAGGACTTCTAAGCCGCACAGGCAGCTTTTGTGTTGTACTTGAGTCAAGGCAGGTTTTGCAGATACAAATTTGGATACGAACGCACAGGCACATAGCATGTGCTGCCTGTTCTTTCTTGCCTTAATCTCATTATATTGACTGATATTTACACTCTGGGTTCTTGGGGAAAATTATGAAATCCAAACTACGACAACACCTGGAAACAGACATAACAGAAACATGAGAGAGCCTAGCTATCCCTATGGGAGGCTATTCTGCCTTAGGTTTTAAAACCATAAAATGACAACCCATTCTTTATTTAGGAAACATGTCTGACTTTGATGCCTGATATGTTTTATTCCTTTACCAAGTCATTGCGCATTTCAAGACAAGATGGGATCATTAGGATTATATGGTTGGTCTTTCTATATGATACAGACTTCAATTGAGTTCGTGCAGCCAACCAAGTAACTTGGGAGATTTCATGCAATGTGAATGTGGTAGCTGATCCACTACGAGGAAATAGGGTGTAAGACTCAAGGGACGATAGCTGGCAGACATTAGCAGAGTGCTGGCACCGCACTGAGCACATTATGTGTATGAAGCACAGTCTTATTCCAGAGTTATATCCTCAGCAAAATCTGTCAAGTATACTTTGTCCCTTGCTTCAGAAATACTCATTTAAAGGCTTATTAACTATTGTTTGAATGAATGCTAATATACAGTGAAATGCTGAGTAAATGCATCAGAAACAAATGGTGAAATGCACTGACTTGCAACCTCTAAGAAAATTACTGCCATCCAGAGTCTTTCTGCATATTTTTTTCTTTGTATCTTTTGTAGAGACATGATCAAATTCACCTGTAGGCTTCTATAAAACTCTGTGACTGAGAACAGGAATGATCTCAGACAATACCTGTCTGGCAACAGTTGTTGGTTACCTCCAAAGTAACTTCCCTCTCCCTTTCCCAGAGCTTCGTAGCTGCTTCCCTTGAGTGCGTTGGTTTGTTTCCTGCGATGCATATGGATCTGTGCAATACTGGACAAAGCCTATGCACTGTAGTCTTAGAACAACATGGATCCTAGGCCAAGACATAGTCCTGTAAGGGATTATAGGGGTTCCACAGTACAATATAAATTTGATCTTGTATGCCACTTGTTATCTTTCAAAAAGCCCCATGATCACTAAAATCTTCGTCTGCTGGATACCTAGTTTTCCACCATTTTCCACCATCTCTTTGGCTCCATTTCACCTGCTAGTTACATTTTTCAGCCTTGATTTCACTTGCTGGCTCTTCTGGCTGTTTG